ATCGAGATATTAATAAGGAACCAGCAGATCAAGTAGCTTTTGGAATAAAACACCAATTTTTTTAAAATTAAACACTATCTAAAGATTTGCATCGAAGCGTTTATTTTTGATAGTGATTTTAATCACTGTCAGATATCATTATACTTGATCCAACTATACCACGTCACAACTGTGCCGCGACCCCCCTGTGCTGGGTTTTTTTATGTTAGTTATCACTGTATATTCTGTTAGCATTATTATAAAGTTCATGATATTGACTAACTTTTTCTATTAAAACTACATCATCGGTATTAAAATAACGAAAAATATAATAATAATAAAAATATAAATATAATAATCACTCATATAGAATTTATAAATGGAATGTATATTTTTGATCGAGACGTTCGGTTCACACATTCATACTATACGTCAAACCTTTCTTTTGTTATTTATGACCGTCCGTTCGATCCACTGTTCGCTAATGGATGGTTCCTATCATCCTTCGTGAACGAAAGTTTTTTATTGTTCTAAACGGTCGTCCATTCGATGTTACATACGTTCCGAACGTGTTGAATACGAGTATAAACTATTGGTTTGGCGGAAACGAAATACTTACCTTAAGCAGATTTGGCGGAAATGGTGCTTGTCGAAAACGATACGGTCATTTTGGCGGAATGTCATGTCAAACGGATTCTACTGTTCGATGCACGTTTATGTTCCACGATTGTTGGCAATTTATTGTAATAATATAAATCGATATTTTGAATTTAAAATTCATACAACTTGATTTTTGATATTAAAATAATTATTTTTAATTAATATATTTCTTTTTAATAACAATAATTTAATACGATGACATATAATTTTATAATTTGTTAATTTGATGTGAATTTAAAAAAATGCATTGCATTTTTTATTTTAAATAATTTGCTAAAATCATATAAATAATTTAATTAATCAAATTCTAAAGAAAACATTCACAATTGCATACATTTTAAATTAATTAATGCACTTTATAAACAATACTTTGACCATTTAATTTCTTAAAATTTGATCATTTAAAAGACAAGGGGATGTTTTTAAGATAAAGAGTAAAAGTAATGTGGACAGACTTAAATTCATATAATTTTATTTTCCATAAATTGAAATGTTTCATAAGTTTTAAAATCTGACCTTGGCGTTATTTGTAATTACATTAATGTCAAATCTATTGCAAAGGTTAGTAAGGATTTACAAAGGGATATCGATTTTATAATA